GTGGCAAGCGCCTGTGGTCCCAGCTACTTGGGAGGCTGAGGCAGGAGACTTGCTTGAGCCCAGGAGTTGGAGGTTGCTGTGAGCTGTGATGCCACGGCACTCACCCAGGGGTACAGCTTGAGGCTCTGTCTCAAAAAAAAAAGCAACTACCACTACCACTTTGTCAAGTAAACTTCTAGAGAGGATGCTTGAGGTGGCTTACACCCATAATCCTAGCATTCTGGGAGGCCGAGGTGAGAGGATCCCTTGAGCTCAGGAATTTGAGTTCAGGTTCAGTTCCAGTCTGAGCAAGAGTGAGACCTTAATTCTACTAAAAATAGAAAATGTAGCCTGGTATTGTGGCAGACACCTGTAGTCCCAGCTACTTGGGAGGCTGAGGCGGGAAGATCACTTGAATCCTGGAGTTTGAGGTTGCTGTGAGCTGGGCTAAGGCCAGTGCACTCTAGCCTGGGCAACAGAGTGAGACTCTGTCTCCAAAACAAAACAAACAAAAACTTCCAGAGAGATTCTATGCATGTACTATATACAAAACCATGTTACATGTTTTTCCTCAACACGGTTGGTAGCATAGGATGCATACTGTTTACATTGCCTTTTTCCTAACCTGAAAATAAATCTGCCTTGGTTGGGCTTTTATTTTGTTGTTATTGTGTTGTTTTCTTTTATTTTTTGAATAGCAGATAGTTTATTGGGAAGTATGTGGTTTCAAAGGCTGTTTTGTTTTAGTTTTAGCTCATTGTTTTTAAGGGCTGCAAAATAATTGTATTGCTTGTTTTTATCATAGTTAACCTATCCTCTGTTAATGAACATGACTGCTTTTAACTTAATGATTCTCAACCATGGGCAGTTTTGCTGCCCAGGAGCATTTGGCCATATCTGGAGACATTTTTGCTTGTCACTAATGGCAGGTGGTGGGGGTGCTACTGGTGTGTAGTGGGTAGAGACCAGGAATGCTCCTCGTCATCCTACAATGCACATGACAGCCCCCCACCACGAAGAATTAACCAGCCCAGGAAGTCACAAGTGCTGAGGTTGAGAAGCCCTGTTCTAACTGGCCTCCCTGCCTGTCCTTCATCCTTCTGGTACATCCTAGCTCACCTCTCTGATAATCAGGACATTCACTGTTCCTGCATTACGAAGCCATGCCTGGCCACCCGCATCCCCAGGCTCTGTGCCTGCTCCTTAGTCAAGCTATCGTTATCTTCTAGGCACTATCCTTACCATCTTTACAGTCTGCAACTCTGCAGTATGACCCAAAAGAGTATTGTGGCTTCATTTGCGCCTGTTCCCCTCTAACACCACCCCAAGCATGTTATTGCACAGCTGAGGGCAACTAGAAAGTTGAAAAGAGTTTACTAAGAGCTAGGAGATAACCAGAGAGAAATCTGCACAGCATGAGCTGGCAAGTATTTGTGTCGAGAGTTAATAGGCTCAGTTTTGTCCCGTAAGACATGAGATCCTGGGGAAGAGATTTGTCCAGGGTTGTGTCTGCCTTCATGTGGCATTAGCACCTTCAAGGATCCCTCCCTTGGAAAGACTCTCATCTGGGAAACATCTTTAAAGTCTAAATGAAAAGATAGCCATTGCTTATCCTGCCCAGCTCTTAAAGGACTACAGTAGCCCTCCCACAACAGGTTGACACTGGAATTACCACACCTTCAGGCAAAACTAACCCTCTGACCCAGTAGGGCTTAAGCATTCTCCATATAGGCCTTATCCAGATAACTATATCGCAAAACAACACAACCACAGCATTCATAGGCACACACATATTATTATAGTTGGGCAGGAAGAAGGGTGTTTATTTCCTCAAAGGAATTTAGCAACTATCTTTAAAAAGTATACTTTTCATGTCTTTTTTTTTTTTTTTGGAGACAAAGTGTCACTCTGTTGCCCCAGGCTAGAGTGCCATGGTGTCATAGTAACCTCAAACTCCTGGGCTCAAGTGCTCTTCCTGCCTCAGCCTCCCAAGTAGCTGGGACTAGGCAGCATGCACCACCACGCCTGGCTAATTTTTCTGTTTTTACTAGGGGTAGGGTCTTGCTCAGGCTGGAATTCTTGAGCTTAAGCAGTTCAGCCTTGCAGAATGCTAGGATTACAGGTGTGAGCCACCATGCCTGGTCCTTTTCACATTATTTATATAAAACCCACAGAAAACTGCTAATCCCTTTATCATTATTTTGTTAAGCTTTTAAAACTCTAGTGTAGGCAATGTCCATATTTGTTATAAATCAGATTTTATTAGGATAAATACTATATAAAATTAAGAGGTTGTTGACCAAGCCGTAGGAATTATTTTGGTCAGGGATCTTGGCTCCTTTTGCTTGTTGTCATGAGTGTTCCTGGGAAAGAAGGTAAGAGTGGTCTCTTTCAGCTTAGTGAGTAGGGTGCCAGCCACATACACTGAAGAGCCTGGCCCGGGCCTGCTAAACAACAATGACAACTGCAACAAAAAATAACCAGGCATTGTGGTGGGTACCTGTAATCCCAGCTGCTTTGGGAGGCTGAGGCAAGAGAATCACTTTAGCCCAAGAGTTTAAGGTTGCTGTGAGCTGTGACACTATGGCACTCTACCAAGGTGACATAGTAACACTCTGTCTCAAAAGAAAAAGAAAGAAAAGAGTGCTCTCTTTCAATTTATTGTAAGACTGAGAAAATTGCCACTGTTCCCTAAGAAAATGTTACTGATGAGAGGTTTGTCTTTGTGCCCTAGTAACCTTTGTTCTCAGCCTTCAGGCAGACAGCTTTTGGGAGTTTGCCAGAGAATGTCTGTCATTCTGTTAGGTTAGGGCTTATCACCTTTGGGCAGAGGCCACCACAGTCATCTCCCACCCTACATCATATTACTCTCAGTCAGTCTGCATGGATTATTTTCCTATTTGAGGGGTGAGTAACCTGCAGCCTCAAGGCCACATGTGGCCCTCCAGATCCCCAAGTGCAACCCTGTGGCTGAATCCAAACTTCATAGAACAGATGTCTTTATTAAGAGAATTTGTCCCGTAAAATTTGGATTCAGTCAAAAGACCATACTCAAGGATCCAGAAAGCCAGATGTGGCCCCAAGGCCACAGGTTCCCCATAAGGACAAAGTCTTAACCTATATCCAGTGGCCTTCTTTCAACATACCCTAGCACACAAAGGGTTTCAGCTCTCTCCAGTCGATTCCTTCCAAAAGAAACACTGAAGTTGCAGAAGCTTGGGCCATGAAGAGGAGCTGTGTGCTTGGCTCACAGTTTTTCAAGTATTCATCAGGAGGTTAAACTGTGCTTGTTCCTGTCCAGGAGTGGTTTGAAGCCAGAGAACATGAATAAATGAACAAGCCAATCAATTTGTATGCCACCTTACTTTGGCGGGTTTGCTCCTGGAAAAGTATTTTCTGTTGTCTGAAAGAACTTAGCGATGACGCTTTGTTTCTATACTTTCACCAGGTCCAAGGTTGGCATCGGAAAGCTACCTCCTGTGGCTTTTTGTTGGTCCCGGTTTTAGAGGGGCCTTTCGCACTGCCCAGCTACCTGTATGGAGACCCCCTTCGAGCTCAGCTCTTCATCCCGCTCAACGTCAGCTGCTTGCTCAAGGAGGGCAGTGAGCACCTGTTCGATAGTAAGAAATACTCTCCTCTGGAGGTTGGGAATAGAGAGAGGCTTTCAATTAGGGACCAAAAGAATCTAGGTTCTAATCCCGGTCCTTCACCTAGTGGCTGGGTAAACCTGGACAAATCACTTACTGTCTCTGAGTCTTGAACTCCTTATTCCTAAACTGGGGGTTGGCACTGCCTTGCCAATTCAGGAAGGCCATCTGTAAGGTCTTGGTGTAGAGCAGTGCATGGGAGAGGTGCCACGTGTTATAAGTCATGAGAGGCTATGGTGTTCTTCCCAGGTGCTCCTTGCCTGTGCTTAGCCTAACTGGCTTGGGCTGTGGAGCTTCAAGCCTCACAAGAGGCTTGTATATGCTGTTTCATGGGAAAAGGCTGGGGAGGGGGACACGTTGAAAGCAAATAAGGAAACAGTGTCTATTTGTGCAAAGATGTGGTATGTCAGCCCCTGGAACAGCACAAGTGGCTCGAGTTGCTCATCTCAAGGAAGGCAAAGCAGAGCAGGAGAAGGACAGCAGGAGCCACATCAGAGCCCTTCCCTCTGGAGCAGGTTGTCAGAAAGGGAGTGCACAGGGCCAACCCCAACCTGCTGCCAAACCCCAGCCCACCAGAACCCTGAAGGCAGGTTTAGTACAGAACCCAGCACAGAGCTTTTTATCCCCAAGCACTCATTGTGGCTAAATGTATAAATAGGCTCCCAAAAGCTTTCTTTTTTTTTGCAGTTTTTAGCTGGGGCTGGGTTTGAACCCACCACCTCCAGCATATGGGGCTAGCGCCCTACTCCTTTGAGCTACAGGCACCTCCCTCCCAAAAGCTTTTAATGAGTTCACAGATGGTCTCTTTTAAAACGAGAAGCTAGAGTTGATACTGATATGTCAGGAGCCCTCTAGTTTCTTATATATAAAGATTATAAATGAGAAGAAAATCATTTTTGATGTAAGGGAGATGCTTTCTTTCCATCCCCTTGCAAGTCTGGCAGCAAAGAACCGGCCCAGAGGGTGAGCAGGTCTTGCCAGTTGGGGGGGGGGGGGTCAAGTATGCCCGTGCTTTTTGTGTGATGGATTCTTCTGGTATGAACAGCTTTTCTTCCAAGGCCCATCTGTATGATCTTGGTTTACATCTCAGAAGGCATTTTTGTAAAGACACAATGTTCTAAGTTAGGCGTCCTCAAACTACGGCCTACGGGCCATATGCGGCCCACCTAGAACATTTGCCGGGTGTTTTTGTTTTTGTTTTTGCAGTTTTGGGCCATGGCTGGTTTTGAACCTACCACCTCTGACATATGGGGCTGGCACCCTACTCCTTTGAGCCACAGGTGCCACCCAGGCCCGCTGGGTGTTTTTACTGCCACTGCCTGTCCTGCTTAGCAGCCGACTCATCCCAGGGCCCGCAGTCCGGCCCTCCAACGATTTGAGGGACAGCGAACTGGCCCCCTGTTTAAAAAGTTTGAGGACCCCTGTTAAATGGTAGTTGGAGTTCTAGATGAGCCCTACAGACCCTCTCCCTGTTGGAGGCCATAAAGTCTGTGATATGTAGAGCTTATAAAGCCCCCTTTACACACACTCATTCTTTAACCTCACAGCATGGCTGAGAGAGAACTGTTTATGCCGTCCTGGAATGCCTGACAATTATGGTCCTATCAAACAATTTTAAACCAGGTTGTGTTATATTGTGGGGACAATGAGATCTTTCCTCACACCATACACAGACTGTTCTGGGGTTTTCCACCTTCACCATAGGTTTGGCATCAAGAACAATTTTGGGTTTTTTGGTTTTTTCTATACAGAGTCTCATTCTGTGCTCTGGGTAGAGTGCTGTGTTGTCATAGCTCACAGCAACCTTAAACTGCTGGACTAACTGCTGAGGCTCTTGCCTCAGCCTCCCGAGTAGTTGGGACTGCAGGTGCCCACCACTGCACCCGGCTAGTTTTTCTATCTTTAGTACAGATGGGAATCTCACTCTGGCTCGGGCTGGTCTTGAACTCTTGATTTCAAGCAATCAGCCTACCTCAGCCTCCCCAGAGTGATAGGATTACAGGCATGAGCCATCCACACCTGGCCTCAAGGACATTTTCCCCACCAGTTGTAACCCCATCTGAAAGACCAGTATCCTCTGTTGGTTGCCATGGTTACAGGTAAAGGAAAGGGTCTTAGTTTAAAAGATTAAGGACTTGAATCTGAAAACCTATTTTCTTGCATCTGTGCCTCTTTTTGTTCTCACTGCTTCTGATAAAAAGAAATTCAAAATCTTAAAAATCTAACAAGGATGTGTTCTGTGTGTTTCCTTTTAAAGCCAGAGTCTTTTTGTTTTTTGCTCTTTAATTGTTCAGAATCCTCAAGTCAGTCCATCCTAGGTAGAAAATTCCAAATGCAGAAAGAGTGATAGAGTCACTGGAGGCACCCTGGTCTTTGGGGTGTCTGTGCAGTTGCTCATCCGAGAGCATTCTGGCTCCCTTGCCTGGCGCTGGGTACAGCCAACCCCAGCCTCCCACTCCCTCCTCTTTGGTCTCCAGCAACAGCTTCACAAAGTGCGTAATGGAGGAGGGCATCATCTGCTCCCCTCCCCAGCCAATTATGTGTCAAAATGTAGTTTTGTATTTACTTGCTTCGTTTTCACCACCCTTAAAATAGAGCTTGTAATATTGCCTTGCCTTTTAGGGAATGAAAGATCAATAATGTAAAAGAGTGAAGGTTTTGTTCTTGTTGCTCCTTAGAAGCAGCTGACATGCATTTAAAGTTTACTTTCTGTTGGCTCAGTGCCTGTGGCTCAAGCAGCTATGGTGCCAGCCACATACACCTGAGGTGGCAGGTTCAAATACAACCCGGCCCACCAAACAACAATGATGGCTGCAACCAAAAATAGCCGGGTGTTGTGGCAGGCACCTGTAGTCCCAGCTACTTGAGAGGTGGAGGCAGGAGATCCTCTTGAGCCCAGGAGTTGGAGGTTGCTGTGAGCTGTGATGCCATGGCACTCTACTCAGGATGACAACTTGAGGCTCTGTCTCAAGCAAAAAAAAAAGTTTATCTTCTGTTTGTACTTTACTATCGTGGTCCGTTCAGCTTTAAGTGTAGGAAATCATTAGAGTGGGTCTTATATTTAGTTCTGGTAGCTCACACTGGGTGCTGAGGACTCATCCCCTTTCTAGAACCTGCTGTAGCTTGGGGGAAGGGGTGTGTGAGCACACAGCTTTGACTCTTGGAATGGAGGCTATCCCAAAGTAGGCAGCCTGGAGAAGCAGAGCTGAGGTGCAAGGGGTCTAACTGCCAAGAGTCCTGAAGGGACAGAGGAGGGGCCCCAGAGAGAACTGCAAACCTTGTGATCATAACTCAGCATTTATTTTTTCCTTTTAGGCTTTGAACCAGAAACATACTGGGATCGAATGCACCTTTTCCAGGAAGCCATTGCACACAGGTTTGTCCCTGAGCAGGAGGGAAGTAATCAGCGTTTTTCTTGAATGGCAGTTACCAAAGTGAAACCCAGTTTCTTTTACTTCTGAGGAAAGGGATCTGTTCCACCAAGGACACATTCACTGCTTATCTCCAAGGGGACTCTTTAATTTCAGAGATAAGCACTACTGCTCTTGTTCCCATAGCTATTGTTTTTCAGGCTACATTACCTTCTTCCACACCTACACCCCACACCTTTCACACCTACACCCCACACCTTCCACACCTACACCCTCCACTTTCCACACCTACACCCCCACCTTTTACACCTACACCCCACACCTTTGACTCCTATACCCCCACCTTCCACACCTACACCCTCCACCTTCCACACCTACACCCCACACCTTCCACACCTATACCCTCCACCTTCCACACCTACACCCCACACCTTTCACTCCTATACCCCCACCTTCCACACCTACACCCCACACCTTTCACTCCTATACCCCCACCTTCCACACCTACACCCCACACCTTTCACTCCTATACCCCCACCTTTCACACCTACACCACCCACCTATACCCCCACCTTCCACACCTATACCCCCACCATCCATACCTATACTCCCACTTTCCACACCTACAGCCCCCACATTCCACACCTACCCCTCACTTAACACACCTACACCTCCACTGTCCACACCTACACCCCCCACATTCCACACCTAGCCCCCACCTAACACACCTACACCTGCATCTCCATACCTACACCCTCCACCTTCCACACCTACCCCCCCACCTAACATACCTACACCCTCCACTTCTATACCTGTCAGAATATTTTTTCACCAGGGATTCCCAGGTTTTCCAACTCTGAATTCCTTTTTCCCTTTTTTTTTTTAAAGCACTCTTAATCTATTTCAGTGATTTGGGGTCCTCTAGAGGGCATTTTTGTTTCCTTGTACAATGCCTAGTAAAGTGCCTTGTCTCGATTAGTCATTTAATGTGTAGCTTTTGCATATAGTGAAGCTCTCAATGGAAATGTGGCTCTGAATGACACATCAGCCCACCCACAATCTCCCTCTCAAAAAGAGCTAGAAAACTGCCCACCTTCCCTGGGCCACCTCTGCTGTGGCTCTTCATTGCTCCTCCATCTTCATCTGGGCAGTTGGAGTGAGATTATTCCATCCTTTTCCTTAGTATGCAGATGGGTGGCTTAAAACAAAGAAATAAATCCCCTTCCCAGGGACAGGAGCACAGGCTGGCTTGAACTCCTGGATTCAACCAATCCTCCTGCTTTGGCTTCCCAAAGTTTTGGGGTTATAGGCATGAGCCACTGTCCCCGGCCCCAGCTCTTAAACAGCAGATACAACACAGCACTTCTCTGAGGAACTAAGTCCAGGAAAGGAGACTGGCATTCCACCTTCTTTAGTTCTGCCTACATCACTGCCTTCCTTACATAAACCCCTCAGACTTAGAGGACAAGGAGCCACATCTGTTACCGCATCCTTTACAGCTCTTAGCAGGTAGAGCTGTAATAAATGCACTTTATGGAAATAGAAAAACCAGGAATAGCACAAGCCATAGATGAGAAATGGAACAGAACAAGGCAGAGATGAAAAATGGCCCCTCCTGCCCATTTCCAGAGTGCAAGGAAGCAGAGAGACCCAGACTGGTGTTCTCACTTCTAAGAAAAGTGCTTTAATTACAATTCTTCATTTTATTTCAACTCAAGGCCTTTATTGAGAACCTTCCACATGCTTAGCTTAAAAAATAGTAGAGAGGCTCGGCGCCTATGGCTCAAGCGGCTAGGGCGCCAGCCACATACACCTGAGCTGGCGGGTTCAAATCCAGCCTGGGCCTGCGAAACAACAATGACAGCTGCAACCAAAAAATAGCTGGGTGTTGTGGCGGACGCCTGTGGTCCCAGCTACTTGGGAGGACGAGGCAGGAGAATCGCTTGAGCTCAGGAGTTGAAGGTTGCTGTGAGCTGTGATGCTACAGCACTCTACCTAGGGTGACAGCTTGAGGCTCTGTCTCAAAAAAAAAAAAAAGAAAGAAAGAAATAGTAGAGAAAGGGAGAGAGGTGTGGCGTTTATCTTGAATGGCAGTTAACAAAGTGAAACCCTTCTCTTGAATGTGCAGTAACTGGGACATGAGGTACATTCCAGTGAGATGCAGAGGAAAGGTCCGAACTGGTGGTGGGGAGAAGGCACAGTGGGCAGGTCTGCTGGGGTGGCTGGGGTGCGTCTGAGCAGAGATGAAGACTGGGTGAGGAGTGCCTTGGGTAGGAGAGCTTTCATTCATTGTGACAGGGAAATAGTGGACTTCAGGGACAACAGGCACCTGGTGCAAGGAGCTCTGGTAAGCCATAGTGGTGGGAGGGGTAGCAGTCACATAGGGATGAGGACAAAAATAAACACTCTGGCTGGGCACAGTGGCTCACAGCTGTCATCCCAGCACTTTGGGAGGCCGAGGCAGGACGATTACTTGAGTCTAGGAGCTCAAGACCAGCCTGAGCAACGCAGCAAGATCCTATCTCTAATTTGTTTTTTTTAAATTAGCCATGTATGGGGTGGTGTACCTGTTATCCCACCTACTCAGGAGGCTAAGGCAGGATGATCATTTGAGCCTAGGAGATTTGAGGTTTCAGTGAGCTACGGTGATGCCACCACACTCCAGCCTGCACAACAGAGCAAGATCCTGTCTCAAAAAAAAAAAAAAAAGTCAGCCGCCATGTTTCCACTTGAAGGAAATCTTTGCAGATCCCTTTGTTTCAGGCTGTCAGAGAGTCTACTTGCCACATTCTCTGTCCCCTTAGGCTGAAGAGGCCCTAATCAGTTTTTCTTCCTGTCCTTCTTTTAGGTTTGGGTTTGTACAGGATAAATACTCTGCCTCTGCCTTTAACTTTCCTGCTGAGAACAAGCCTCAGTACATCCATGTTACAGGTGAGGAGCCGGGCAGGCGGGCCCCTATGGTGGGAACAGGAGCCCTGGCCCTGGCCCTGTTCACAGAGGTCCCTTCTCTGAGCTTGTGGCCACAGAACCACTTCGTCTGGCTCCGGGGCCCTCCTAGTGGCTGTGACATGGGTGCTGGCCTTTTTCCTGCAGGAACGGTATTTCTGCAGCTGCCGTACTCCAAGCGCAAGTTCTCAGGGCAGCAGCGGCGGCGGCGGAACTCCACCAGCTCCACCAACCAGAACATGTTCTGCGAGGAGCGGGTTGGCTACAACTGGGCCTACAACACGATGCTGACCAAGACATGGCGCTCCAGTGCCACGGGGGATGAGAAATTTGCCGACCGGCTGCTGAAGGACTTCACAGACTTCTGCATTAACCGTGACAACCGGCTGGTCACGTTCTGGACAAGTTGCCTGGAGAAGATGCACGCCAGTGCCCCTTGAGGTCAGGCTGCAGTGGGGTCAGAAGGCTGTGTCCATGCTGGGGCAGGGAGGTAACCTGCCACCCTCAAACCTGGGGCTAAAGATTCCGGCCAGTCTCCAGGCATCAGGTGTCTGTTGGTGCGTGGGGGCCATTGCTTCTTTTTGGTCCCCCCAACAAGTGTTGTTACACTGAAGGAGAAAGACTTTGGAAGCAGCTGCTGCCGCCGCCACCATCCAGATCCACCCAGCGGAGGTGGAAGGCACAGATTGTCCGTGGGAGGGCTTCAGTGTCTGAGAAGCAGGGCAGGCAGCCCCCGTGAATGTCCTCAGAAGAGGGTGGCTTCTGTTAGCTTCCTTCTCCTTTACCATCCATGGGATATTAGGAGCAGAATCTGGTGCTTCCTACCCAGGAGTGTGCCCAGGGTGTAAGATAATCTTGTGAAATAATGTACCATAGACTCACACAGACTGTATATACCTGTACATATCCAAAGTAAATAAAACTCCACACGCAGCTTCTCTGTCCCCAGCCTGGTTGCCAGCAGCAGCAGTCCCATCCTGGGCTGGGCAGCTGTGCCCAGTGGTCAGGGCCAAGGTGGTCAGTGGGATAGCCACAAGTGTTAGGATTCACTGGCTTGGAGAGTCTGGCTGTGGGTTTACTGAGTGATTTCTTTTCACAGGCGCTTGGGCCAGGATAGTTTTGGTCAGAACTAGTAAGCAGGTGGTACAAAATACCAGGTTGCCTTAGGCTCATGTCTTCAGAGTGAATCTGAGTGGTGAGCCCAGCTCTGGGATCATCTTGGCATTCTGAGAAAAATCAAAGGAAAGCAGGAAAGCCTTCACAGACTCTTAGGTTTAGGTCCCTCTGTTAATTGGGATAAACTCAGCGTGTGCCCCAATCTCAGTGCCCTGCCCCAGCCTGCTCCAGGGCAGTGGAAAAGGTGCCCGCCAAAGGGGAGCACCTGATGGTTACAGCCACTTGCTCCTCCACAGAGTAATTATAGCCCTGCTGAACTGCCTCCTCGGTGGCTTAGGAATCCATCCAGTTCCTCCCAGTCCCTGTGCTATAACACTCAGTCTGCCTCCTTTGTCTTTCTCTTAGATCTCTAGGAAAACCTCCTAATTTGTCTCTACTTTTACTCCAGGCCATTCTCCACTTGTTAGTCAGAGTCTTAATAAAACTGCCATGATTATGCCCACTACTTAATCAGAGCTCTTTGGTGACTTGAGCTTTAAAAATCTTAGATGTGGCTCACATGGGCCTGCATGATCTGGTCCTGTGGGGTGTTTCTGCAGCCACTGTGGCTGTTTTGCAGTCCCTGGAACTTCGCAAACTCTGTACCAACTCAGCTTTTGCCCGTGCTGTTCCATCTGCCAAAAACACTGCTTCTCTGTCTCACTAAATCCTGATCATCTATCAGCTCTTAGCTCAAAAGCCACTTCTTCAGAGCACTTTGTACTTCTCCAAACTGGTGCTTGACACATTGACATTTGACCATGGCAGAAGCTTCTCCATTTTGTTCATCTTTATGTCCCTAAGTGTGCAGCATAATACATAGTGGAGAAAATGGTTGTTGACTGAACACACAGAATGAATGAACTCTGGACTCCAGAGTTAGCCTTCAGGTGTTACATCTGAATCTCCACCTCTCTAGCTGGGCTCCTTAGTTATACTTAGCAGAAATCTTTGGTGACTTGAACTTGGACTTATTTAGAACTCTTAAAATGTCATTGTTGATGCTTCATATAGAGATTATGAGAGAATAGATCTGTTAATAAATGTGAAAATGTACTGGCTGATACCTAACACAGAGCAGTACTTTGATAAAAACCCATTTTCTTTTTCTTTTTCACCTAACCTCCTCTCAGACAAACCATTGCTTCTCTTTGTCAATGCCCTCAACCTACAAAATGGGAGGCTTTCTCCCAGGGTGGTCAGAGGATCAAATGAGAGGTGTATATAAAAGGACTTGCTAATGAAAAGCCAGGAAACAAATGGCTGCTCTCATTTTCCAGATGGGAGTCGTCACTGTGCTTTCTTGAGTGATGCTACACACAGGCTGCTGAGCTGTTCAGATGACATGTGATCCTCAACATCCTATATGTAAAGCAATAATTGCCCTTGCAGTTGCCCCAGAGAAGGCACAGAGAATGATTTGGCAGAAAGGGCAGTGGAAGAGTCAGAATGCTGAGTCACTCACCCAGCAGAGTTCGGCCTGAAGCTTGCCTGCCCTTGAGCCCCCGTTGCCCTGTTTCCTGCTCTCCAGCAATCTCCTCTCTCTGGTGGGTACCTCCTTCCACCCACTCGTCCATCCCAGAACCTGGGAGCTGAACTCAGTGCCTCCCTTCTTGTGTCATCTGGTCCTCTTACCTACCCACCCTACCTGTCTTACACCTGCCCACCTCCTTCCATCCCTGCTGCCCACAGGAAACGTGGTTTGGCTACTCATGGAGGACACATGCATGCCATCCAGAAACCCACCACTATGTGCACAGATGTGAGTAACCATGCCTTGGTGTAGAGGAAAATCCAGTAGGCTTGGGGCCAAGAGGACCAGGGTTTAAATTCCAGCCCTGCCATATTTTGGCTGTGAGCAGAGTATGGACAGTTCTATCTCCTGAGCCTATTTCATCACCTGTAAAACAGAGATTATTTGGCTTCCCTCACCCACCCCCCCCCCAACACACACACACACTTTGTGGAGTGTTGCTCTTCTGCACTATGGCATTTAGCCTGTTTGAGCTCACCAGGCTGAGAATTTCCCTAAGACAGGCACCAGGCCTCCAATCTCTCCCTACCTTTGTGCACCATAACTTCTGCCACACACTTCAGTCAGTGAGAACTGAATGAATGAGCCAGTTAGATCTAAGAAGCAGATGTGTGTGGCAGGGCCCCTCATAGGGACCAGCACGGAGGAGGGACACATGAACCAGAAGGAGGACCTTGACAGGATTACCTGACTTGCTTCCCTAAATCAAATCACGGATATGACTTATTCCTATTGAAAAATGAGGCTGTTGCCTAGTATGGTGGTTCACCCTTGTAGTCCTAGCACTCTGGGAGGCCAAGGCTTGAGCTCAGGAGTTCAAGACCAGCCTGAGCAAGAATGAGACACTGTCTCTACTAAAAATAGAAAAACTGACCAGGCATTGTGGCAGGTGCCTGTAGTTCCAGCTACTTGGGAGGCTACGGCAAGAGAAGGGCTTGAGCCTAAGAGTTTGAGGTTGCTGTGAGCTGTGATTGTCATGGCACTCTACCGAGGGTGGTAAAGTGAGACTTAAAAAAAAAAAAAACTTAAAAAGAAGGGACATGAGGGTGGTGCCTTTGGCTCAAAGGAGTAGGGCACCAAGCCCCATATATACTGGAGTTGGCAGGTTCAAACCCGGCCCCGGCCAAAAAAAACGAACATGAGCAGGGAAAGGGGGTGGGTGGAATATAATTATAAGAAGAACTTTACCTAACAAATGCTTCAGTGTAAACTTAAAAAAAGAAAAATGAAGCTGTTAAGGGCCAGACATGGGCATGACATTCTGGGGGTCACCCCAGTGTGTGTGGAGATAAGTGTGGTCCAATAGCCTTAGTGTGGAGGGGTTCTTGGAGATCAGGTCCAACCCTTTCATTTCCCCCACTTGAGCAAACAGGCCCAGAGTGACCCGCCCAACCTCTGGGTAAAGGCAAGGGAAGGACCCAGGTCCTCTGGCTCCCAGTCCAGCACCTTCCCAGGCATTTGGTTATAGTCTATAGCAGTGGTTCTCAACCTTCCTAATGCCATGACCCTTTAATGCAGTTCCTCATGTTGAGGTGACCCCCAACCATAAAATTATTTTCATTGCTACTTCGTGAAGTAGCAACGAACCATTAGGAAGGTTGAGAACCACTGGTCTATAGCATAGTAGTTAAGAATGAAGGCTTGGAAGACAGGTGCCTGGATTCAGTTTCTAGAAGGGCCACTTGCCAGCCATGTGGCTCTGAGTAAGGTACTGTACCTCTCAGAACCTCAGTTTTCTTTTTTTCTTTTTGAGTTTTTTTTTTTAATTTTTTCAAATTAATATGAGGGTACAATTTTTAGGTTACGTTGTTCTCACAGGGTAAAGTTCCATTTGTAGAAGAGCCTGTCATGCAGGGGTATGTTACACATTCACAATGTGCATATTAGGTGAGATCTTGCCTCATGCCCTCCCTCCTCCTGCCAAATGTGCTTCCCCCCGCCCCCCAGAGCCTCCGTTTTCTTATTTGTAAAATGAGGGGATAATATCACCTCGAGAGGTCCTGAGGATCACACAGGAGAGTGTGGCTAAAGCTTTGTGCCTGGAAAGTTGTAAGCTCTGCAGAGGTGTTAATGTTATGATGACGATTATTGATGCAGACTCCGTGAGCCGCAAGAGCTTAGAGAAGGGAGTAATCACAGAGGGCTGGAGAGGACAGAGTGGGGTTTAAAGAGGAAGTAGTGTTGGGCCTTGTGGCATGTGTAGGAGTCAGAGTGGGCCAAGGAGCTATGGAGGAGCCCTGTTCTAATGACTCTGGAGCTGCTCTGGTCATTCTGCCTCTTCTGGATCCCATGGCCCTCTTCTGGGAAAAGTTTTTTTCTGTTGGCAGAGCTGCCACATTGCCTAGAGTGGAAGAAGGGTCTCTTGACCATGCTGCTTTGGCACTTGCCGATTGGGAACAGGTCTGTTGCCCGAGGCTGGGTAGCTCCTGCAGTTTCCCAGATTTGTGGGGGTGCCCTGGGGTGTACCCAGGCCCCACTACACCTGTGGCAGTGCCAGTTGGCTTCCTGGATGTAGAAATGGAGCAGAGCAGGGACAGAGGGAACCACACGGTGTGAGCTGCAGAAAAATGCAGCAGCAAAAGAAATAAGGTAGAGTAACACATTCCTTTACCAAGGGAGCTAGGAATGAGCCAAAAAGGCTTCGAAGCAGGAATAGCTGTCTTGGTGCCCCCACCTAGTGGTTCTCAGATGTTCCCATGTGTAAGAGCTCCCTTAGAATACAGATCCCAGGGCATCCCTCCCGGAACTGCTGATTCCAGAGGTCTGGAACTCTACTGCAAATAGACCCTCCAAGTGATTCTGCCATCAGTGGTCCATTGGAGAAACCCGGCCAGATAGGTAGGTTCATTCTCCAAGCTTCTTCCCATTTACATACAGTTGTAACCAGCCCTGGAAATAGGATTCTCAGACAGATCAGAAGCAGCACATGGAGTAAAAGATAGTGGAGGCAGAGAGTCCGACAATAGGGCGAGACAGCAACTGAATGACGGCAGTGGGGGCCACAAGAACTAAGGACCTCCAAAGGTGCAGGTCTGTCAGAAGCTGAGGAGCCAGGAACCGTCAATCACTGCACTGAACAGGCACAGAAGCCGTATCCAATTTGTGGGAATTGACTTATCAAAATAATTAAAGTGAAATCTTCAGGTGTTACAAGGAAGGAGCATGTGACATACGTCTGAAATGCTCAGCAAATCTGCAAGGTTGTGCTGCAGGGAGTAGGAAATAGTGGGAGAAGAAGCTGAGT